ACGGAGCGGGCACGCAGAGGGCAAGGCGGAGTCTGCGTGCGGGTCTCGCCCAGGATGAGCGCCAGGAGCTCACTGCACGGAGGAGGAGCAGAGCTGCGGGGAGCCGGGGAAGCCGAGTCCTTGACGGCGGCTGAAGGAGACCCGCCCCACCCGCGGGGAGCCAGGGGAGCGGGAGCACAGCAGGGCCTGCGGGCGCCCTGCCTCCTGCCTTGCTGCGAAGAGGAGAGCGGAGCGGGGAAATAAACCAGTGCAGTAGCCAGGACGCTGGGAAGCGCGGCTCTGCGGCAGTTGTGCCAGGACAGGCGCGCTACCTGTGCAGCCCAAGCTGCCACGGCCCGTGTAGGTTCCAGGAACGCTCATCCTCACCAACCGGGGACATTTCAGGTGACGCTCGCAACGCTGGTGTGCTTTGGAGTTTTGTGTGACCTTTATTAAAACAAAAACAAACAAGCAAAACAGTTGCAGGTGTTTACTGTGACATGTTCAGACCTTTATAAAGTTAAAAAAAAAGTTACCTTCCTCTCTAATACTATCAGCTTTTGGCTCAGAAAAGCATTCAATTTTTTTCCCTTTTCTTTTGGCCCTACTGGGGATTGAACCTAGGGCCTCCACACGGAGCTACATCCCCAGGACTTTTAAAAATGTTTTTAGAGACAGGGGTCTTGCTAAGTTGCTAAATTGTTCAGGCTGGGCTTGAACTTGAAATAGTCCTGCTTCAGCCTCCCGGGGTGCTAGGATTACAGGTGTGTACCACCACATGTGGCTTTTCTTTTAAAAGAATTTGAAATGATAATACATTCACATGGTTCAAAATTCAAAAGTAACGAAGGGGGACAGAATGAAAAGTGTCTTTTCCACCTTTATTCTCTACCTTTCAGGTCTCTGCCTCTAACGCCACCAGGTCCTTCTGTCCTTCCATAAATATTCCTTGGCATTCCAGGTTTTCTTTGTGCTATTAAACAACTCAGAGCACAGGGGAAGAAGAAACCTTACCCCTAAGTGAGCTGAGGCTGACGGCTTGGCTCTGAGCACCCGCCTGTGAAGAAATGGCAGTAGCAGGAGTCCTGTGGCTGGGGTGGGAGGGTCTCCGGCAGAAGACACAGAGGGCAAAGGAGACTTCTGGTGTGGTCTGCCAGGTGTCAGGTGCTTTACCCAAGGACAGCGCTCTTCTCACCTAAGGAGATGAAACACAGGCTGTCCACAGGCAAGAGATGTGGTGGCTATTTGTGATAGGAAACAAAGCTCCAAGGTGGCAGATAACGGCCTCTCTGAAGAGGGCACTGTGTGGGATGGAAACGTGGAGGAAAAGACTGTTTTAAGGAAGCCAGGCTGGGAGTATCTTCATAAAAGGGAGTCACTCTGTAGCGGAACTAAGGAGTGTCAGAAGGCGGATGAAACAAGAGAGGAAGCCGGCTGGCACAGGGGGCACAAGGAGACCCAGGGCAACAGGGTGGGGTCCAGGCCTAGAGAGAGACCTGATTCTGAAGGTGAAACAACTCTAGAGAGCAGGAGAGGGAGGCTGACGAACCCGAAGAGCCACACAACGTAAGATCACAGGCAGGCAACCTCTGCAGCAAAAGGATAACCTTTCAGTTTCCCCCTTTCTTCCCAAGGGCCTTCGCACTCGGCTGTATCTCCAGCCTGTCTGTATTTTTAAATTTTGAGACAGAGTCTTTCTAAGATGATAAAATTGGGAAGGCAGGCCTCAAACTTGTGATATTCCTGGCTTAGCCCCTGAGGGCTTGGGATGACGGTGTGCACTACTACAGCTGGCTCCTGAACAGCCTTTGGAAGGAAGCTGGGAGAGAGAGAGGCTGGGCATGGCATCTCTGAACTCAGTCTTGGCTCCACTCTTCTCAGTGGTGTGAACTGGAAAAGTTACTCAAAACTCCTTGTACCTCAGTTTTCTAGCAGGGACAAGAACCCTCTGGAGTGTTGTGTGATCCTTGGCGTTAACACATAGTCCACAGTGTTTTATCTTTTTTTTGGGGGGGGGAGAGGATGCCGCACTAGGGACACAAGCCAAGGCCTTTGCACTGAGCTACATCTCCACTCCTTCGTCAAGTTTTTATTTTGAGACAGTTTTTACTACATTTCCCAGACTGGCCAGAAACTTCTGATCCACCTACCTCAGCCTCCCATAGTGCTGAGAGTACAGGCCTGTGTCACCATGCCTGCCACCCAGAGAGGGTTTAGAACAATGCCTGGTATCCAGTCAGTTAACTCTCTGCTTTGCACCATTACTATTTGTAATCAAGGCCTGTGCAGGCCTGTTTTGCTGGCACAGAAGTACTTGGTGATGAACATACAAAGGCAGAATCATGGATGGATTTCAGGTAATGGTAAGAGGGGAAGAAGGGAAGGAAAAGAGAGTAAACATCGTGAAGACAAGAACATAGGAAAAGGAATGAGCACAAAAGGGCTCAGGGTGCCACTAGTTAGTGAAAAGCCCTCTTGCAAATCCATAGCATTCACAACTGGTCTGCTTAAGGGAATGTCTCCTGGACATTACACAAAGGAAACTTCCTTCTTTAGAAGAGCTTGTGCATGTGTGTGCCCACTTAGAGCTCCACCTATGAGTACGGAACATGGCCAGGTTGCACAGCAGAAATCCCAAGATCCACAAACATTCAGGAAACATGGGATCAGTCCTAGCTCTGTCCTAAGTGGCTGATGCCATAGAGTTGACAACTAATAGATTATCTTTTTTTTTTTTTTTTTTAAGGTGGAGTCTTGCTACCTCACCCAGGCTGATCTTGAACTCCTGGTCTTTTTCCAGGTCTTTTGACAAAATGGGCAAGATCTGCAAATACTGGCACCGGGAGAGTGTGACCTTTTTCTTTTCTCATCCATTCCAGATAAAGCTGAGGGTTTCATTTTTGGTGTAGATTGAATGGGGAAGTAATAATAATAATAATAATAATAATAATAATAATAATAATAATAATAATAATAAAAAGTGAGGGCCGGGGATTTAGCTCAGCGGTTCTGTGGGATAATAATAATAATAATAATGATAATAAAAAGTGAGTGCCGGGGATTTAGCTCAGTGGTTCTGTGGCCTGCCTCGCAAGCTAAAAGAAAAGTGATATTTGGTGAAAGGAAAGGAAGTTTGTTTTGCCTAGGAGAAAGTTGCACAGCTAGATTGTGAATGTTCAGGTTCAAACCACCCTTTCACCAACACTGTCGAGTGCGGACTCCAGGATTAGGAGACCGACTTCAAAGCTCAGCCCTTGCTGCATGATGCACAAGGGCCACACGCAGCTTCTAAACCCTCAGGTCCATGGCATTTCTGTTGTGATGCTAGGGGAGGGGATGTGCCGGTCACAAAACCACTGCCTCTCACTCTGACTCTGCAGGAAGGTCTCGTGGTTTAGGAGAAAAATCTTGAGGATATGGCTGCTTGCCCAAGGGTTATGGGTGTGCGTCTTGCGTCTTGCTTGTTCATCATCCTGTCAGTCATTTTTTTTTTTCTGTAAAGACAACAATCTAAATGTAGAAACTTTGAATCCTGAGCTTTTTTCAGAGGGGAGGCCATTAAACGTAGGTTCCTGAACTAGTACTCTGGCCTGGAATAGCATAGCCTGCACAAGGAACCCCCAGTAAACCCGGAGGGGTCCGCACTGCGGGGCGACAACCTACAACTCAGTTGCAAACCCAAAGGTTTCATCATCTGCCAATCGAGATCCGGGACTCCTCGGGACAGCCAGAAACGCCTACGGCAGTGAGTGGCACTAAGGCCAGCCTATCGAACAGGAGGCTGATGAAGGGGTGGGGTCATTATTAACCAATAGGATGGAAATAATTGCTGTTGGGCGGGAGGAAGACGCCAGAGAGATTGCGTGAAGCGGCTCCCGGGAAGCCAAGGCAGGAAGCTCTCGGAGCCAATGGCCGCGGCGGGCGGGCGGTAGCGCGCCTGCGCGCT